CAGTGTTCGGGTCAGTATTTAGTGCTCATCCTCCTGCCATGGAACAGGAGCCCGAAGCCTGATGGGGTTTGGAGGAACCTCAGTGGGTTTGCGAACCCTTGCAGGGCCGGTGCCTGCAGCCCTGCCCTGGGCAGCCTGTTCCAATGCCTGAGCACCCTCTGGGGCAGGAATTGTTCCTCAGCTCCATCTAAACCTGCCCTGGTGCAGCTTGAGGCCGGTTCCTCTTGTCCCATCCCTTGTTCCTTGGGAGCAGAGCCCAGCCCCTCCTGGCTCCATCCTCCTCTCAGGCACCTGTAGGCAGCCATCAGGTCCCCCCTGAGCCTTCTCTTCTCCACACTGAACCCCCCAGGTCCCTCAGCCCTTCCCCATCACACTTGGGCTCCAGGCCCTGCTCCAGCTCCATTGCCCTGCCCTGGCCCTGCTGCCGCCCTGGTGCTGATCCAGGCCAGGATGCTGGGGGCTCCCTGGGCACAAGCTGCTCACGTTCAGCTCCATCCATCAGCACCCCCAGCTCCTTTTCCATCCCCAATGGAGCCTGGAGCGCTCCATGGGGCTGTTGTGCCCCAAGTGCAGGACCCAGCACCTTGGTTTACCCTGGCTGCTCACCAGTGTCAAACACCTTCCCTCCTCCCAGGGCTGTCAGAATCCATCCCAAAGGAGCACTGGTGACACTCACAGGGGCCACGGGTGCTGGTGACCGCCCCAGCACTGCCTGGGGCCGTGTGGCCGAGGAGGGGCACGGATGCTTTCTGCGGGTGATGCCCTGCAATGGTGTCAGTGCTCCACCAGCCCCAGGAGCCTGCCCTAATGACCACGGCTCCCCACAGGACACCTCTTAGAGGCCTCTCTGGGATTAACCCTTTTAATTGGATCAGCAGCCAGAGCTCAGGAGCCAACGGCTCGCGGTCGGTGGCATCGCCTCCCTCGCCCCGCTCCTCCTCCTGTGTCCCTTTGCCTCCGCAGGGATCCCCCCCTTCCCACCCCAAGCCGGGGAGATGGGGTTGATGTGGGGGCAGAGCTGGCTCGGGGCTCTGGGACCTTAAATCTCTTGTGATGCTGAGTGTGCAGGGATGGGCGTCCTATGGGGGGTTTCAGAGGGTCCTCGAATGGTTTGGGATGAAGGGAGCTTAAAGCTCCTCCATTCCCAACCCCTGCCACGGGCAGGGACCCCTTCCACTAGAGCAGCTTGCTCCAAGCCCCTGCGTCCAACCTGGCCTTGAACACTGCCAGGGATGGGGCAGCCACAGCTTCTCTGGGCACCCTGTGCCAGCGCCTCAGCACCCTCCCAGGGAAGAGCTTCTGCCTAAGAGCTCAGCTCAGTCTCCCCTCGGGCAGGTTCAAGCCATTCCCCTTGGCCTGGCCCTACAGGCCCTTGTCCCAAGCCCCTCTCCAGCTTTCCTGCAGCCCCTTCAGGCACTGGAGCTGCTCTCAGGTCTCCCCTTCAGGAGCCTTCTCTTCTCCAGGCTGCCCCAGCCCAGCTCTCTCAGCCTGGCTCTGTCCAGATCCTGACACCAGCCCTGCAACAAGAGCTCAGGGGGCATTGATGGGCTTTGCACGCTGCATTCACCCACCCAGCTTCTACCAGCATCTGCCTTGGGTGCCATGGTTTGGTGTGAGGTGTCCCTGCCCATGGCAGGGGGTTGGAACTGGATGCTCTTAAGGTCCTTTCCAACCCAAACCTCTCTGTGATTCTACCAGCGTTTGCACGTGGGTTAAACAGAGCCAGTTTTGAGCTCCACTGCTCCAGCCACTGTGCCGTGGGCTCCCTGGGGGCACTGCAGGTGTATCCATGCAATTGGAAGGGATTTGTCTCCATGGGGCAACAGCAACACACTGGGGTGTTTAATGCAGCATCCCTGCCTTGGGGCAGGCATCACCTCAGTGCAGTCCCTTCTCTCCCCTCAGGGAGAAGCTGTGATTGAACTGCTCGCTGCGACTGCTTCTGCAGGGCCCCATCTTCTGCCACTTCTTCTGCAGGACCTGGATCTCCTGGTGCTCTCCTATGGGAGCTGAATGTCCCTCCAGTTTGTGTGCAAGTGCATCGGGTATCCCATGGCTGCTGCAACCTGCACCGAGCCACCTTTGGTCTCTGCGCAGAGCATCTGGGCACTGTTTGGGTCCCCAGTACTGGGCAGGCAGTGATTGCTGGACCCAGGTTAGATGAAGATGCACCAAACCAGGACAGTTTTCCCCTTCAGGCTGATCAAACACCGGAACAGGGACCAAGGGAAGGACCTTGGAGAAACTCAGCCCTTGCCTGGACCCACACCTGAACAACCCGATGTAAGTCCAAGTTATCCCTGCTTGGAGCTGGAGGTTGGACCAGGCACCTCCTGGGGTCCTTCCAACCTGAATTACCCCGTGGCTGTGTGCTCCAGGACGGATGGCAAGTCACCACCAGGAATCTTGGCTCTCCCTCCGGGATCTTAGGGCTTTTTTTACGTCAGAGCCATGCTATTTCATGCTCTATTATCAGGTTAGTCAAAACACTTCTCTACACTATATGTCTCTATAATTGCCAGCCACACTCAAACTTCCTTGGCTCCTGCTGTTTTCCATTGCATCGCATTTGCAGTCATGCAAAATATCTCCTTTCACCTTAATCTGCATGAGCCCCCCTTCCCTGCAGGCTCAGGAGGGAAGGGGAAGCCAACACCTCTTGGTTATGATCACTGGAGCCTTGTTCCCCACTGGGCAAGAGGGAAGAGCCGGTGTCGGTGACCTACGCAGCTCAGTTTGAGGTGCCCATACATCATTAGGGTAATTAGGAGGGAAATTAAGCAGGTTTGGTGCTGCTCTCAAAGTGCTGCATGAAACCCACAGCCCTGGAGGTGCTTCGAAGGTTTGGCTCCTCCGTGAAGCATCTCCCAATGGACCGGGATGGATGCTCCTGTGTCACCTTCCCGCAGCCAAAGAAGGGGATTTCTCCGCAAAGGGATGGGATTTCCCTTAACAATGGCTCTTGCAGCACCCCAGAGCCCCTCACGCTGTGCCTGCATCCGCTTTCCTCTGCACATCCCTTTCTTTTCCAGCGAGGAGCAATGGGGAAAGCAGAGGATCGCGGCGCTGCTTGGCGCTGCGGCTGTTCCCGTGCCACCGCGGACCTGTCTCCTCTCCAGACTAAACACTCCTGATATTTCCTGTCTCTTCTCACATAGCAACATGTCTGTAATGGCTCTTTTCTCCTGGTCCTGCACCTCTTTGGATGCCGGAGCGGCTCAGGATGTACCTAATCCGGCGGCTTTAACGCGAGCTGCTGGGGAAATGAGATCGCCTTTCGCTGCCTCCAGCTATGTCAAAGCCCTGACACCCCCCAAAATGGGAAACAAGAGCAATGCCTCTATAGAAAACAGCTTTTCCAGCAAGCCAGGGCAATCTGGACACTGGAAAAAGCCTCTGGTGATGAGAAAACCAGGTAAATCCTTGGAGACGGGGCTGGAGCTGAGGAGGGATGGGAGGTGGAGGAAACGTGACTGGCACAGCACAACCACGGCCCCAAGGTCTCTTTCCTCCTGTGTTACGTGGCCATCCCCAAACGGGGGGGTCCAAAGGGGAGGTTGGACACACCGATGGGACAAGGTGGAGCATCCCGTGGTCCTCCTGCCCCATGGGATGCGGGAGCGCTGCCCGTGCCGCCCTCGGTGGTGCACTGGGGTGGTTTCCTTGCTCTCCTATTGCTTGCAGGCAGCTCCTGGTGGAGATCCCTGTTTGTAGAGGCTGGATCAACCCAAAGGAAACTGCTTGCGACTGCTTCTCAGCAGCACTGCCAAAGGACCATGATTCAGTGCTTTCCTCTTTGGGTCGAAATGAATTAGTTCAGGCCCATCAGGATTCTCGAACTCCAGGAGCACAACAATAAACCAGTGTTTAAAGGTTCTTCATGGCCATTTAGCACCATCTGGGGCGTCTGACCAGGGGCTTTGAAAACAGTTGGAGATGAAGTAAGAAGGATCGCTTGGCCTGGACACCCCCTTCTGCCTCCCAGCTGCACCGACAAGGGAACTGATCCTCATGGACCCATTAGACACAGGGAAAGGGGCTGTGGAGCTAACGTGCACCTCAAAGGGCCTCTCTGAGCTGCCTGGTGGGGTCTCCAAATGAGAACGTGGTGGCTTTGGAAGGAGCAGAGGAGAAGAGTTTGACCACGTGTCCAAATAGCAAAGAGCTCTGCCCTGGACGTGCTCCTCTTCCAGCTTTGAGGGCTGAGTTTCATGGAATCAGAGAGGTTTGGGTTGGAAAGGACCTTAAAGCTCATCCAGTTCCAACCCGGTGCCATGGACAGGGACACCTTCCACTAGAGCGTGTCATCCCTCTGGTTTGAATGGGTGAAGCTTGAGCCATCCCTATGGAGAGGTTGGCTATGGAAAGCCTTTGCGGCGCCTCAGGAGGACTTGGCTCACTTTGGGTGTCCTAGAAGATGGATTTGAGGGTTTTCCAGGTTGGGTTTGGGTTTCCCCATGTTGGGAAGGCACCATTGATTTTCAAGGGCGAGTGGATGCTCACCGTGTCCGGAGCTGCCCCAAGAGGGGCTTGGAGCCTGCTGGACATTCAGAACAGGCTCATGTATGTTCCATCCCTGGGGTGCCCACCTGAGAAGTGAGGCTCCCTACGTCGTGTCAGTCAGGAGATGCCACAGCTGGAAGCCCGTCTACACCCTGAATGGCCTCCCTGGCTCCCATGCTCTCTCCAGGAGCTGGCTGGGACCTCCCCGTCCCACCTTGCAGCCCCACAGTGTCTCCAATGACCACAGCTTCTGGGAGCTGTGGTCTGACTGTTCTGGTACCCAGAGCCCAAACCACCCGTGCACAGGGGCTTGGAGCAACCTGCTCTAGTGGGAGGGGTTGGAACTGGAGGAGCTTTAAGGTCCCTTCCACCCAAACCACGCTGGGGTTCTATGCCGAGCCCCTGATGATGAGCAGAGCATCCCCGGGATGCTCTCTGCAGCCCTGAGGATGTTTGCTGGGTGAGTCCAATGGGATCAGACCCCAGCAGGATGGGGGTCCAACCCCACCAGGATGGGGATCTCACCCCTCTCGTGACACAGACCCTATGGAGAAAGGAGAGCCAGCACAGGAGGCTGAATCATCAAGACGCTTTAATCAGATTTATCAGACAGCTCTGGATCTCCAAATAAATAGATTTATCAAAACAGAATAAAACCAGAGATAAATACATGTACCAAAACAACCTGAAAATCCCCCAAAGCTGGTTCCAGACAGGGGGAGGGCGATGCTGCTGCACCCCCTCCTCCCCACGCTGCAGAAATGGTCCTGTTCGCCCTTTGGGAGATGCCCCTCCTGTGAATACAGCCCAGTAGATATTATGTAGGATATAGATAGATATATAGCATAATAACACGCTTGGTAGCGACCTTAGTGCAGCGCTCGGGGTCTCAGACCCCATCAGCAGGTGGGTCCTCCCAAAAACTCCATCTTCAAGTGACCTGCAAAGAAGGGAAAAGAATCCTTCCGGCGGGAGCAGAGAAGACCCAGGATTCCTCCAGGAGTACCCTTATGGGGTTGTCTATCCAAGGAAACCCTTTGCAGGTCACAGGGGCTCCGAGGAAAAGGATAAGGATGGTTTTTCTTTCCTTGCAGGTCATCTTCATGTTGGTGGTTGGAAAGAAGCGTGGTCACGGCTGCTGCTAACTCCTGATGCTCTTCAGAACGCCGGGTGTCAGGGATGTATCCCACCTCTCCGTGCCGCTCCAGGTCTCACATCTCCCTTGTCCCTTCCTCCTCTTCCCTCTGCACTTCCAACCTCTTTGTCGCAGGAGGTGATGGCCAACCTCTTGTGCTCTCCCGTTGGAGAGAGGCACCTCCACGGCTGGGATCCCATGTGGTTCAGTTTGGCTCCATGGCTGGAGGTTCTGTAGTTTACACTAGTGCATCCTTTACTGCTGTGCCAGTCTATTGAGTAATGAGGCTTTGTACTTCCTATATAGGTGTATGTGTGTATGGGGTGTGTACATAAATCGATAGCTAGGGTAGAGTTTGCTCTCGTTACAAGCTCTTTGTGTCTTTCTCTGGGCTCTCTGTCATCTGCAGCTCTGATGTCTGGGCTCGGAAGATGTTCCAGTGACCTGGATGAAGGGAGAGGGACGCTGATGAGCAGGCAAACCCGATTCACCCCATGCACAGCACCTCCCTCGATGGAGGACCTCCAAGAACCACGTGGGGAGAGGTCTACCCACAACGGTGGCCATGGCCGGAGCAACTCATCAGTGCTCCTGTAATCCTAGAATTGCCATTAAAATGGTACTTGGGGTCAAGAGGGGCCCTGTGTACCTCCTGAAATGCAGTTAACAGCACAATCACTGGCATTCCCAATGCTTTCTTTGGAAGCTACTTGGCTCTTTGTGCAGGGCTTTGCATGGTAAGGCAAGATCTTAGAATCATGGAGCTGGGTTGGGATGAAGGGACCTTGAAGCTCATCCATTCCCAACCCCTGCCACGGGCAGGGACCCCTTCCACTAGAGCAGCTTGCTCCAAGCCCCTGTGTCCAACCTGGCCTTGAACACTGCCAGGGATGGGGCAGCCACAGCTTCTCTGGGCACCCTGTGCCAGCGCCTCAGCACCCTCACAGGGAAGAGCTTCTGCCTTATCTCCAACCTGAACTTCCCCTGTTTAAAGAAACCCCCTTAGGTCCCTCCACAGCCTCACTGCTGTGCAATGCAAAGCAAATGCATTGGTGGGAGCTGGGAAACACCCCAAAACCCAACACAAAGCATCCCAACCCCTCTCCTTGCTCCCTCCGAAACAGCAGCATCCCCGTGCGTGCAGGAGGGAGCTGGAGATGCTTCCCCCCTTGGTTGGTGCTTCCCTCGTAATCCCAGCAGCCCTGGGGCCGTCATTCCCAAGGGGGGGAATATTTCCTGGCTGAATTAATGTCCTGTTGTGAGGAACCCTCTGGGCAGTGCTTTCCTAGGACGTGCGGCAGCGGCAGAGGGATGGTTTCCCAACAGGGCTATTGGTGAGGTGAGAAGAAGGGGACACGTGCCAGAGATCCCAGCGAGGGTCCAAAGCCTGACCTGGAAGCAGGGACTTGAAAATCCCCCATTGCTTGGCCAAGAGATGCTGCCTGGAATGGATGGGAGGCGGAAACAAAGCTCCCTCCCTCCCCGGGGGCACTGGGTGTGCTGGAACGCACTGGGGCAGCAGCACCATTCCCGGCCGACCCCGTGCCCTGTGGGTGCTGGACAAGATGGGAACGGGGCCGATCCGGACCTAACCCATTGCAGCTGATCCCAGCCCAGGCAGCAGGAAAGCGCCCGGCCCTTTGGCCCCGCGCAGGCACGCTCGGCATGCGCACCGGCATTCCTGCTCCCGGGAACGTCTCCCCATCCAAGAACATTACGGATGAGTTCTCAGACTACCTCAAGGGTTTATTTCTCTCAAATCCCTTGCTTAATTCCCTCTTTCCCCCCCCCCCCTTCCACTCTGCCCGTGATGCCAGATGGATTAAATGGGATAAAATCCAACAGGTTTACACGCTCCGGAGGCACAAAGCCTTTGGGTTTCACAAGCCTGCATCCACTTTTAGAAAGCTGGCTGCCCTTTCCAGCAGCATCAAGGGGAAATGTGACTGCTGAGCAGGAGTGTTGCAGATGAGGGGCAGCTCCAACCCCGCTGTGTCTGGACAAGTCTTCTCCCTATGGATCAGCTCCCCACGCCGCGCCATCGGGATACACGAAGCCTTTTGTGGAAGGGGCAGTGAAACACGGGGTTGTTTGGGGCTGGACGAGTGGGGAGATGATGGGATTTTTGCCTCCCTACCTTCGTTCGTCCTGGTGATGAGTCTGAAGTTGTGTGCTTCCTGCTTGAATTCCTGTTTGCTGATCTTCTTGGTCTGGATCAGATGAAAGATTCCTGCAGAGGGAACCACAGGGAATCACATTTGAAGGCTCAGACAGGTTTGGATGTCTGCTGCTCCGTCCCCTCCCGGGGTGTAAAAGGGATGCTGCCTTCATCATCCTGCTTTGGTGCAGGACCTGCTGCCACCGAGCCTGGTAGGGGTTTAGGAGTGAATCAAGGGCTGGCCAAAGAGCAGGAGAGATCCCATTTGACAACTGCTCATTACACCAGAACACAGCAGGGGCAACACCATGGGCAGGTGGGAGCAGTATGGTTTTGTCGCTCCAAAAAGCATCTCCCATTGGAGGAGGTTTGATCTGCCCCCAAACCCATAAGAGAAATAAAGATTAAACCAATGGAGTCCTGGGATCCCTGTCCATCCTTCCCCACTGCGTAATCCCCTCCATCCCTGGATGCTTTCCTTTCCTGGATGCCCTCAGGGACCAGCGTTTTCCATCTCTCTGCCCCCCAGCCCTGGAACTCCTCCAGGACAGGAAAACCCCATAAATGCCCTCAGCAGAGGTTGCTCTTCCTGCCTGTGCCAGCAGCATCCCATTAGCGGAGGTGCCCGACTCACGTGTTTGACCCAGGAGAAGCAGAACCTGCGCTGAGCAATGGGAGTCGCTCAGAACCTTTCTGCAGGATTAGGGCTCGTGAGGCTCAGCGTTGCCTGGGAAGCGTGACAAAGCAGGCAGGTATTCCTGGCACATCCCTCCAGGCTCCACTGCTGATGCGAGAGGCAATGTGCCCCCCCCCCCCCTTATTTGGTTAAGAGACTTGCCCTGATTCCCAGCAGGAATTACACAATAGGGAATATATAAGGAAAAGCAAGGGGCAAGCAATCCATATAAATGGGATGTTAGGGACCAAGGGGGAATGAATACAGGAAGTCAAAGCCATAAGGAGAAATAACGTGGCTCTTTGAGCTATGAATAAGCCCTTGAAGTGAGTCAGGAGGAGAAGATGCTGGGTGGGGATAATAAAAGCGTTGATGACGCGAGGAAGGCCCAAGGGCTCAATAAATCCTCCTGGTCTATCCTTAGCAAGGAGCAGGAGGGGGTGCGAGTGGTCCCCGTGGCCGGTGGGGCCCTTTCCAGGACGTTAGCAACCCAGGGGGTGTTTTAAACAGGAGCTCCAAGGGACAAACATCTTCTCATCACCCCACCTCGATCACAGTCACCCAAGGGCCCTCCGGGAGCTGGTGGAGACCTTTGGTTGTCTCTGAGAGATGCCAGGAGCTGGGAGCAGTGGAGGAATGAATGCAGCTGATGCTCCAGAACTGACTGGGAGGTGCAGATAAGGATAGCCCACGGTGCCTGCAAGCACCAAAGAGGCTTGATGGGATGGAGATGGGAATGGGGGATGCCCCTGTAGTGATAGGACAAGGAGGGGTGGTTTGAAGCTGGAAAAGGGAAGATTCAGACTAGGTACCACAAAGAAATGGTTCCCAACGACAAGGTGATGTCCATGTGTGCGGAGTGAACATGAGGGCTGGAGCAGCTCTGCTCTGGAGCCAGGCTGAGAGAGCTGGGCTGGGGCAGCCTGGAGAAGAGAAGGCTCCTGAAGGGGAGACCTGAGAGCAGCTCCAGTGCCTAAAGGGGCTGCAGGAAAGCTGGAGAGGGGCTTGGGACAAGGGCCTGTAGGGACAGGCCAAGGGGAATGGCTTGAACCTGCCCGAGGGGAGACTGAGCTGAGCTCTTAGGCAGAAGCTCTTCCCTGGGAGGGTGCTGAGGCGCTGGCACAGGGTGCCCAGAGAAGCTGTGGCTGCCCCATCCCTGGCAGTGTTCAAGGCCAGGTTGGACACAGGGGCTTGGAGCAAGCTGCTCCAGTGGAAGGGGTCCCTGCCCGTGGCAGGGGGTGGAGCTGGAGGAGATTTAAGGTCCTTCCAACATAAACCAGGCTGGGATTCTGTGATGACTTTAAACATGGTACTTACTTAACGCTGGGCTGGGGAATGAAGCAAGTCTAACCCAAGACACTGCTCTTAGGACTTGCTAAATCATCTGCAAGATGAAGCCTTGGCGGGTGCTGGAGACAGGACCATGGGTGCACATGGCTGTATGAGACTCATCTCAGCAGGAGCCAGCCTTGGGCCAGAGCCGATGTCCTGTTTTGGGCTCTGCCCTTCAAGACAGACACAGAGGAGTCCAGAGCAGAGCTACAGAGAGGAGCAAAGGACCCGAAATTTCTAACGTCAAGGGAAGAGTGGGAATAAATTCAGCTTAAACTGAATTTAAACCACGTAAAACTTCAGCCTTAAACCATGGATGAAGAGGACAGAGGTGGGAGCTGATGGCATCCTCAGAGGAAAGGAGCCTACTCTTCACAGCCACAATGGTGAGGGTGAGAAGGCAGGAGCTCGAGCTGGAAGAAGGATGAACGTTGTGAAAAGTCTTCCATTGGTAAAGGGTTTGTGGCTCTGGAAGGGATCGGATGGGCTGTAGAGTCTTTATGGCAGGAGATCCTTATGAGGGTGAGCAGGGGCTGGAGCAGCTCCTGTATGGAGCCAGGCTGAGAACATTGGGGCTGTTGAGCCTGGAGAAGAGAAGCTGCGTGGAGACCTCAGAGCAGCTTCCAGTGTGTGAAGGGGGCTACAAGGATGCTGGAGAGGGACTCTTCATTAGGGACTGCAGTGACAGGACAAGGGGTGATGGGTTCAGACTGAAACAGGGGAAGTTTAGATTGGATCTAAGGAAGAAGCTCTTCCCTGTGAGGGTGCTGAGGCACTGGAATGGGTTGCCCAGGGAGGTTGTGAATGCTCCATCCCTGGCAGTGTTCAAGGCCACGTTGGACAGAGCCTTGGGTGCCATGGTTTAGTGTGAGGTGTCCCTGCCCATGGCAGGGGGTTGGAACTGGATGATCTTAAGGTCCTTTCCAACCCAAACCATTCCGTGGTTCTATGATCTCATCAAGCAAATGATGGAGGAGCATGCGGCTGGCAGGTCTGTGCTATGGGGATGTACCAGTGTGGTGAAACACTGGGCCTTGCTGACGGTCCCCGAGGTGCAGGTTTTCAGGATAGAAAGGAATGGTTTGGTGGATGTCTAATCAGCAGCCTGGCAGGGGAAATGTGGGAAAGAGATCCATAGGGATGCTGCACCTGCAGTGCAATCCAGGCCTCCAGCGGGGCAGGAGTCAACAACAGAGACTCCAAACCATGCTGGTCCCTCTCTGATCCTCCCTGCTCCTTGTTGTCTTCTCTCCCCATGAGAATTCCTCCCTTAAACCATCAGAAAGTCTCTTTCCAAAGTCACTGAGGTGTCCAGACCCCTAAGACCATGGGGAAGCCCCATTGCAGCTCACTGGGGCTGGTCATGCCCCATCACCAAACCGGGTATGGTTTCATCCTGGTGCTGGCGCCGGTTTCTCCTCTCAACTCCAGCCCCGAAGAGGAAACAGAGGAACAGAAGAGGCCACGTAGGTCCCATAAGCCCATACAAAGGCAGAGGGACAGGCTCCAGGCGTGACTTGCGGGCTCCTTTCTCCACACACGCTGCTCTGTTGGTGGAGTGATGGACCATGGCGAGGTGGAATCCATATGTGCCTGAGCTCATGCTCTTTCCCAATAGTAACACTTTGCTCTGCCAAGCAAAAGAGCTGTGTTGGCCTCGGGGACAAGGGCCTCCCCTGTCCTCCTTGGCTGGCAGGGCTCAGGAGCTCCGTGCAGACACGAAGCTCTTGGCCTCGGAAGGTGGCGAGAAGGTTTTGGGTGGCAACCTCTGCCAAGGAGCGAGGGGAGGAAGCGGTGGGGCCCAGACAGTGCAGGCTCACAGTGTCCTCCAGCCACAAGGTGCCATTGTGCCGGGGTAAAGGGGGGAGGATGGGGAGAGGGGCACTGGGGAGGATGGAGGATGGCAGGGGGAGCGTGGAGACGGGGTGGCAGCCAGGGCTCCATCTCTGACTCCTCTCCACGTGTTCTCCCCATTGGCAGCTTGAAGAGGCAGCCAGCGGAGGGCTCCTACGGGAGGGATGGAAGGAACATGCCCAAGAGACCACTGTTTGCCTACACTCATCCAGAAGACGTGGATCAAGGTTCACTGTATCCATAAGTAGGGTCTGGCCAACCTCAAGGGCTCAAGGCACAGCTTTTTGCAAGGGGTAGAGTATGTCCAATGGAGACTTGGGCTTGGAGCACTGCAATGCATTCCCATGCCCAATAGAAACACATCACAGGTATCTACCAAGTGGCCCAAGCAGAGGTAGGCTCCTCTGCTGGTAAGAGTGTTGTGAAGCTAAAGGTGTGAGGAGAGAGCAAGAGATTGGTGTCACTGGCGGTGTATTTGCTGTCTGGAGGACACCCCAACAGCAGCATCCAAATCCACCCATCCAAAAAGTGAGCTGGGGCCAATTCAGCCCCTCTGTGGGCACCTCTGCAGCATCTCTGCGAGCTTTGCTCCAGCAACGAACAAGAAACGAGTGACCAGAACATCGTTTTGTTTTGCTTTCCATGTGCATTTGGCATGAAAGCCAGGGCAGGTTTGGAGGAGAACCCATGGCCCTTGTTTGCCCATGTGCTGTACCTCCGGATGGTGTTACAGCTCATGATGGCACACAGTGGGGCCAGGAGTGGTTTCCAGCCCCTGATCTCCATGCAACTGATGGCAAAAGAGTGCAGAAGGATGGAGCTGGAGGAGCCAGCCTGCTGTCAGCAGCTTTGCACTCACCACATGAGGTCTGGAGCACCACTAGGAACGCCTGAGAGCACGAACAAAGCTTGGAAAGCAGCACGTTTCCACACACCTCCTCCATTGCTGGCTGCTGGCGGGACATGACCCACCTTTAATCAGCTTCCAGTTGTAGATTTCCACCTCTTCTGCAGGCTCCTTCTCCACTGCCATCGTCCTGAGGATCTCCTTGGAGGACCCGGAGCTCGGTGGCACAAACACGTACACCAGGACGCGGTTGGGGTTCTTGGCGCAGCGCGTGGTGGCTGCTTCAGCAGTGGGTTTGACCTTGGTTTCTGGGCAAGAACAAGGACAGAGCTCATTGAACGGGGCAGGAAGGAGCTTGGAGGAAGCCAGCTCAGCACCCGGGGCAAGGCAAAGGCATCGCGTTGGGTTTGATGCTGCGTGGGACACTGTGTCTCCGAATGGACCTTGGCTCCAGGGCTCTCATCCCCAACACTGCGATCTGCAGCAAAGGGAGATGTTGATAAAGGGTCTGTGGATCTGCTTAGCCCCAGGTTTTCCATTCCCTTTGATTTTGGCTTCCTCTTTGCCAGCAGGGATGGAGGAGGGGGATTTTCTCCACCTGGATGCCCCATACCCACTGCAGGGACCTTGGTGTGGTGCCATCACCACTGCAAAGCCCCTGCATCTCGTTGGCCTCCCTATTGGCATCAAGAGAAAGGCATCTCACTGGGTTTGATGCCATGTGGGATAACCACATCCCCAAATGGACCTTGGCTCCCAACACCACAATCTACAGCAAAGGGAGATGTTGCTAAAGGATCTCTGAATCTGCTCATCCCCATTCCCCATGATTTCGGTATCCTTTGTGCCAACAGGGATGGGGAAGGGGGATTTTCCCCACCTGCATCCCCCATATACCCACTGCAAGGACCTTGGGGCATCACCATCACCACTGCAAAGCCCAGGCTGAATTCCCTGCTTCCCATCTCTCTCCTGTTGCCATCCCACAGGATCAATGCCAGCAACACGCAGGGATGAACCCGCAACACGGGAGCCAGCACCGGGCCTGGGCATCGCGCCCGGCTCAGCCCCAGCCCAAAGCCTCGCCCCACATGGGGTACAACAGTGGGGAGACCCTCAGCGGGGGCACCGGCAGGCCCCTACGTGACTTCCAGCATCCTTGCTAAAGCAGAGCTGCTGATTGTTTCATGCTTTTAATGGATCTGGAGTAATTAAGAATCCCCCGTGGGTTTGGAAGGAGATTTATTGCCTTTGGTTGTGGTCTTTGGAACGCAGAGAAGCTCAGCTCTGCTGAATTTAGCCTTGTTCTCCCCGTCCTTTTGGATGCCGGAGCTGTTTTACACTACTCGAAAGAAAGTTTGGCTATGAATAGATGCCTGGGGTTTATTTTAGTAGGACAGTTATTCTAGGCCTCATTCTGTGCTTGCTGGCGTGGTCCTGAGCTGCTCTGCTCAGAGAGGGGATGGAAATCCCGCTTTAAAGGGATGCAAAGCAGGGCTTTGTCAAATGGGAGGACAAGCATTCAGCTCTGCAGGCTCAGTGTGATGTGATGGGGGACGGCCGCGACCCACCACCCTCATCCCTGCCACCGCGGGGTCCGGATGCAGGGAAACCTCCATCCCGGACCAGTGAACTTCACTCACTCCCTGGCTGCTCTTTGCACCCACTGAGGAATCCCCACCTTTACGACAGAGAAGGAACTACACATCCTTGCAGGTACAACAGGTATTTAACAACCTTGGAGCATCACTCTTATGGCCAACAGTGCTGCGGAGGAGAAGCAGGGACACAACGGTCTCCCCATCCAACCCATGCATCACAGCACCGGGTTCCCCTGCGGTCAGGATCCCTTTTGTTAACAGGAATCACTCTGTTTGTCCCCAGGCTGCTGGGAACAAAGGAGGAAGAGGAGCAAAGTCCTGGGAGCTGCCTGGAAAAGGAAGATGGGTGAAACCTCCATGCAGCAAAGCAAAGGACGAGACTGAGACTCGGCTGAGCCACGTGTGTGTGTGTGAGATTGCAATCTGGGAGTACTGGAAAGCAAGGAGAAAGCCGTTTTGGCTGGGTCAGAGTGTTTAACTGGAAATAAATGAAGACCGAGCAGACGAGAGATCCCAGCAGAGAAAGTTGTAGACTTGAAAGCAGAAAGAGCCACTATAATGGGAATGCGAGACTGGAAGGGCTCTGCTCAGTCATCACATCCCGTTCCCACCAGGCACCACGTCATAAATCCTGCTCATAAACACATCAGGAACCTTATTAAAACAAGCTGAGCTTCTGCCCTTCGCTCGCTCAGAGCATCCCTGCTCAGAGGCTGGAAACTCCCACTTCTCATCCCGCACTGTGAAGTGTGCCGATGCCCTTTGCTGGCTCAGAGCATCCCTGCTCAGAGGCTTCAAAATCCCACTTCTCATCCCGCACTGTGAAGTGTGCCGATGCCCTTTGCTGGCTCAGAGCATCCCTGCTCAGAGGCTTCAAAATCCCACTTCTCATCCCGCACTGTGAAGTGTGCCGATGCCCTTTGCTGGCTCAGAGCATCCCTGCTCAGAGGCTGGAAACTCCCACTTCTCATCCCGCACTGTGAAGTGTGCCGATGCCCTTTGCTGGCTCTCCCTGCTGAGACCCCCCCAGGAAACCGCCTTGAGGATGCACATCAGAGATCAGCCAGGAAGCGCTGCATCCACAGGGATGCTCAGAGGTGCTCAGGTACCTCCAGTGTCTCCAGGGAAGCACTGGGTGGTCGCTCAGCTAAACATCTACTGCTGAATGACAGGGATGCTCTGCCCCATCTTTGCCAGGTGTGTGGTTCAAGGTGAACAGCTTTCCAACGACCAAGAAGCAGCCAAGAGACCCAAACCCCATTGAATATGAGAAATAAAGAGGTCCTCTCCACCGTGTCCCAGCCCCAGCATCAGCCCAGTTCTACCTGGAGCACCCCAACCGTTGTGTGCCAAACCTTCCCCTTCCAGGACTGGGGAATTCAATTCCAGTTCAATCAAGCCATGAGTGCCACAGGTAACACCACAGTTGGGAAGCATCCTCCTAACTTCAAACCTACGTTTCAGGTGCCACAATTTAACCCTATGACTTCTTGTCCCAGTTGAAGCTCTGGAGAACAGACCTTCTCCCCAGAAAACATCTTCTCTCCATCTGAAGACTCTTATCACGTCCCTCCTTGAGCATCTTTCTCCAGGCTACAGCCACCCAACAGATACAACCTTATGGGATCGATGCGCCTTCCTCACCTTGGGCCAGTCCTGCTGCCCTTCAAGGCAGACCAACCCTTACACTGGTGCTTGCCCTGCTGAGCTGATGTCGATTCAAGTGACCAGTGATGTGAACACATCTGCCTGGGGCTTCAAACCAAGGCTAAAGGAAGGACCTGGAAGGTACCTGCAGGAGAAGGTGGGATCTCACCTACCTGGACATATTTTACAGCATTTCCCATCTACTTTCTCTGGATGCTCACACGGATACTCCTTGGGGCAGGTGATCTTCTGGCAGTCCTGGACACCATCCCTGCAAGTGCAAAGGATGCAGGGCAGGAGGCCGTAGAGCCGGAAGACGGGATGCCACACTTCCCCATGGGAATAGGTCTTCCCGTTGTACACACAGGCTGGAGGAGAGAAAGAAAAGAGGGGAAATGAATCCCCCTCCTCTTTGCAAAGTCAATGCTTGGTGGAGCCCAACTCATTTCACACCTCGGAAACGGGTGGCCCTGCTCTCTTGAGGAGCACGGTGCTCTGGCAGCACATCCAGCAGCAGACAAGGGGATACGGCAGCCACCCCGCTAAGGAGGTGCCATGGAAGGCGTAGACGAGACCTCAGTGCCTCAGTGGTGGCCTTGGCAGTGCTGGGAAGGGTTGGACTGGATGAGCTTAAAGGGCTTTTCCAACCCAATTGACTCTACGGGGCAGGGGACCCAAGCTGCAGGAGATGGGTGCTGCTGGGGACAACCTCCCCGGTGGGGTGAGCGTGGGCAGGACCTCGGCATCCTCCAGGGCTCTGAAGCCCAGGGTCCCTCGGAGGCAGGCCCAGGCATGAAGCACAGTGAAGAGTGCCACCTGCTGACTCCTCCACGAACACGTTTGGAGGTCCCACAGCTTCCTCCAGGGCTTCATCTCCAAGGTCTGGGAAGAGCCCTTTGGAGACACAGGGGTGGGAGAGCCCCAGCAGGAGGAATGACCTGTCTTCTCCCCTCTGCATCCATAGGGTTACCTCCTCATCGCCTTTATCTCCATGAGGGTTACCTCCTCATCTCTCTTTCCCTCCTCCAGGAGGAAGACCACAGCGCTGGGATAGACCCAGCACGTGGTAGGTGCAAGGAGCATCATCCTGTCCCTCTGCGGCACTGCCCTGGAAGGACCATGTGGAATCTTCCAGTTGAGCATCTCCCTTCCCAGGTCCCAGATCTCCAAAACACCCCAAGGACCAACCTTCTCCCAACGCCTTTTGGGAAGCAGTAGATTAGTATCATAGACTCATGGAAGGGTTTGGGTTAGAAAGGACCTTAAGATCATCCAGTTCCAACCCCCTGCCATAGGCAGGGACACCTCACACTAACCCATGGCACCCAAGACTCCATCCAACCTGTCCTTGAACATGCCATCAAGACTGTATGGGCCACCAGGGCTGAGATAGCTGGGTGAGAATGGCTGTAGAGGAATAGGAAGGACTTGGTGGTGGAAACCTGCTCCTGAGCCAGATTCCTTGGAGCATTCCATGTCCTGGAGAAGCCCCCTTCCTCCACGCACACACAGCCCACCCCCTCCACCCCTCACCTTTCTTGTGCTTCTCTTTCAAGACGATCTTCACGGTGGTGCCACCTCCTCCCTTGGGTTTGAAGCTCCTGGGCACGAACTCCAGGGAAGAGCTGAGGGCAGCGGCCACAGTGGCTCCGGGAGGCTTCCTGCCCATGGCCTCCCCCAGGCACTGGTCTTGTGAGTGCCTCTGTGACCAGAGAGAGGAAAGAAGGGGACTCAGACCCGGGCAGTTGGGTTGTTCTCACTCCAAAGCCATGCAGTGTCCTACACACCTTCCATTGGGAAAGGAAGGCCCAGAGACAGGGATGAGCAATGACCCAGGTCGCTGTAACCACTTGAGCAGTGCCCCACATTGGTGTCCTCCCTATGTTGCATGTGGGTCAGCCTCATTGGGGCAGCAACCCAATGCCCTCAGAGAAGCAAGTGAGGTCCTACATCACTAACATAGGCTAGGTCTTGCCTAGATGCTTGCTGGGAAACTGAGGACTGGGATCAATGCTATCCAAACAGGATCAGAGAGGTAAGGATGGGCCACATCCTGCCCTCCCACCTGGCAGCACCAGGAGGCTTGGTGTGGAGCCAGCAGGACTGGCATCCCAAGGAGCATCCCAGGCTCCCAAGAGCAAGCTGCTGGGACGCGACACGTGGCACAACGGGTTCCCTTGTGCCTGGTTTGGAGGGTTTGGAGGTGATGGAGGTGGGATGCTGGCGTTGCCCCCGGCAGCATGGAAAAGGGCAGGGTCAGGAGCTGTGACTTAATCCCACAGGACTGCCATGGGCTGCCCAGCTCTGAAACGTCACCAGGAATCAACCCCTGGAGCCAAGGAGTCACTTCTTCCTTGCTGGAGCTGCTGCTACAAACAGGCACTGGCTGCTCTGTGACTGGAGACTGGAGACCCTTGAGGGCAGGCTGGAGAGGAGACACCATCTCCTGATGCAAAAAGCACCCAAAGAGAGCTTTGGGCCATCTGACTGTGGGTAAGGGTCACGTCTGGCTGTGGGTTACCTCTGGGTCTCCTCTGTCCGTGCTCCTCAGCTGCTTTAACCTCAACTTCCCAACAACGGGAAGTGCCCAAGGTTTCCAGTTCTAAGTCTTTTGCCTTTCCAAAGACACTGGAGGTGCTTCAGAGGAAGAAGACAAGAGTCTTTCCTCGGTGGTCTGAGGTCTCAGCCTGTGCTGAGAGCCCTCAGAGCCCATTCCCACACAGGATTCATCTGTAAACCAGGGGCTTCTGATTCTACCTAGGGCTCAGGGACAAACGGCTTCCTTTGAGCTGTGCAATGGGGCTGGGCTGAGGTTTAAGAGTCAAACGTCACGTACAACACCTCTGTTTAACTGCAGGGGCTCCTCTTCCGTGGACTTCTCCTGTGAGCCATCTGCAAGGGAAAACAGGGTCCTGTGAAACGCTGCGGGGCCGGGTGAGGATCTGCTCTCCTTGACTGCAAGCAGCTCCCTTCACGGTGCTGTGAGTGCAGAGGAGCTTTAATTCCCATCAGACGGGTGCCATACCCCAAACACCCTTTTCTCCCCGCTGTTAACAACAGCTCAGCTCCGAGAAGGACGTGGCCTTGTGGCTGCTGAAGGGAGGTGGCATGAAAACACCGCAGAGTTAACGTGTGAGGTGATGGAGATAGAATCAGAGAATCCCAGACTGGTTTGGGCTGGAAGGGACCTTAAATCTGACTCACTGTCAGGGCACAGAGGAGGAAAGCGCAGGGGTGATGCACAGCTTTCCCCTGCTCACAGGAGGAAGCAGGGTCCAGTGGGGCTGGAATTCAAGGCCTTTGGCTCTCAGTACTTATGTAGAGGGTCTCTCCCCTCCTGAAAGCAGAGCTGTCCTTATCAGAAACAGAAACCCTCTTGAGGATTTAAGCTCCAACTTATTCCTTATCTGGGATACTTAACGTTTATATTAACATATAACCAAGGCCTGCTGCACAGCTTTGGATGCATCCCCAAATGAAGAGAATAAAACCAAACATAAAACCCACCCCACTCCCCCCAGAATACTCAAAATCATCAAACCAAACTGATAACAGCCAAAATCTACCCCAAAACTTGGACCTCTCTCTGCATCATCTTTAACAGCTTGTAGCTTTGGAGAGCAAATGAAGGAGGTGCTTATGGTGGCAGGAGGGAAGGGAGAAGTGAAAGAAAAACTGTGAATCATGGAATGGTTTGGGTTGGAAAGGACCTTAAAGCTCCTCCAGCTCCATCCCCTGCCACGGCCAGGGACCCCTTCCACTGGAGCAGCTTGCTGCAAGCCCCTGTGTCCAACCTGGCCTTGAACACTGCCAGGGATGGGGCAGCCACAGCTTCTCTGGGCACCCTGTGCCAGTGCCTCAGCACCCTCACAGGGAAGAGCTTCTGCCTTATCTCCAACCTGAACTTCCCCTGTTTCAGTTTGACCCCATCACCCCTTGTCCTATCACTGCAGTCCCTAATGAAGAGTCCCTCCCCAGCATCCTTGCAGCCCCCTTCAGACACTGGGAGCTGCTCTGAGGTCTCTGATTCAAAAGAAAAGAAATCCGAAGACATTTGCCACCAAGTCAAGGACAGGTCCCAGCTGCACCAAAACCCAAGCGGGAGGAACACAGACTGCACAGGAGGAGGGTTTGGAAGGAGCTCATTCTACGTCCGGGGCCAGGAGACCACCACGGCCTTCCAGCTTCGTGGCAAAGAGTCCTTTTGTGCTGTGAGCTCGTTGTCAGCAAGGAGGGAACCTGCTCTTTTCCTCCTGAGTCTGTCTCACCTGGAGACGTGGAGCCTGATGCCCTCCTCACTCCGCAGTGTATGGGCTGCAGGGAGGCAGGACGCGAGTAGATGCGGAGGGGAAGCCCTCATCTTTAGTTTTATGATGCAGCCAAGACAGAGGAACAGCTCTGATTTACAGCACAGGCTTCCCAAATCGTGCCACAGTGGCTTCAGGGGGCTCCTGCCAGCCGGTGGCAACCCTCTGGGGTCTCCCCACCCTCACATAAGAGCAGCTCCTGGGCCCTTCATTACCTTTGCAGACCTGGCAGCAGGAATCCGGCACGGTGAGGGGAGAGGAACACAGGAGCTCCGGGCAGGTCACCAAGCCACAGTAGATCTGGCCTTCCTAGGAGAGCAGGAGCAACAAAAGCATCATCAGCATCATGAAGAGATGGACAGGGCTCTATGTCCTGTGTGCGGGGTGTCAGATCGATCCTAAATCAAAAGCCAGCCAGGAATCCATCCTCAACTACCACCAGTCTATCAGCTGATGAGGGATGAAGATCTGTGCGTGCAAGCTCCGTCCTGTGGGGTGGAACATGGTCTGTGGTGTCCTCTCCTGGCATGCTCATGGCCAAGAGCAAGAATGGGGGGGTATTCCCCAAGGAGAAGGAGGCAGCGCCTTCCTCTCAAGCATCATCAGTGCTGCCACATTGAAATGGCCACCACACACTTGGAAAGGCTGCACAGCAGCCACCAGCTCAAAGAGCCTTTCCTCTGGCATCTCCCAGGACAAGGACCTGGAAGAGGCAAGTGGAAAGGGGAAGAGTGATGATGCTGAAGCCAGACCCAGCTCCACAGCTCTGCTCTGCCCTCCCTCTTGGGTTATCCAGTAGCACCAGAGCCAAGCTCACAAAGACACTGGATCAAGAGCTATGGACGGAGGTGCAGATGTAACCTTCCACTGGCGTGCTGGTTAGCTCAGGAAACATCATTCCTGTAGTGATTCAAGCTGAAGACCACAGGTCAAGGCCGATCTTGACCCTGTTGCATCCCAATCCCTCCTCAGTCAGTGGACTTGCACTTGTTTGCCGCAGGGATGAGGTTTGGCTGCTTTGCAGGAGGGTAAAAAAGGATGTTCAGCAGCACAGCAGCACCCGGACCTCAACAGCAAGGGCCTCTCCTCCATGAACCAGGTGTCCACAAGCTCTCAGCCAACCAAAGCCAAGAGGTTAACCAATGATACCCATAGCAAACCAAGCCACAGCAGCTTCTTCTCCCACCAGGAAGCCAAACCGCTGTGAAAGGGATGTGAAGAGGAGGAAGAAGGTTTGGTCAACGAGAGGATGTGGTGGAGGATGGAGCGACCCAAACCAGGCTTCTGCTTCAGGGCCCTCCATGGGATGCAGACCTGCAGGGAGCAGGGTTTGGCCACGCAGCCTCTTCCTTCCTTCTCCTCCTGAGCAGAGGCTCATGGCAAAGACCTGCTCCCGGCGGCAAAGAGCAAGTGTGATAAAAAGCAGGATTTCTCCCAGCGGATCTGGTCTCTGGGAGGTCTCAGGGAGGTTTAGACCAGCTGTTCCTGCAGCTGTTCCAGCAGCTGAGCGCATCGGACACAGCCCCTGCAACACTCCATCCCTGGATTTTCCTCTTCGTATCCAAGGCATTATCCTGCTGGATAAACAGAGCCTGAGGGAGGGCCAGGGCCTCTGACAAGGACACGGAGCTCCTGGGGACAGCGGTGGATGGGATGGGATGGGATGGGATGGGATGGGATGGGATGGATGCGATGGGATGGGATGGGATGGGATGGGATGGGATGGGATGGGATGGGATGGGATGGATGCGATGCGATGGGATGGGATGGGATGGGATGGGATGGGATGGGATGGGATGGGATGGATGCGATGGGATGGGATGGATGCAATGCGATGGGATGGAATGGGATGCGATGGGATGGGATGTATGCGATGGAATGGGATGGGATGGGATGGATGGGATGGGATGGGATGGGACGGGACGGGACGGGATGCGATGGGATGCGATGGGATGGATGGGATGGGATGGGATGGGATGGGATGGGATGGGATGGGATGCAATGGGATGGGATGGGATGCGATGGGATGGGATGGGATGGGATGGGATGGGATGGGATGGGATGGGATGCGATGGGATGGGATGGGATGCGATGGGATGGATGGGATGGGATGGGATGGGATGGGATGGGACGGGATGGATGCGATGGGATGGGATATATGCGATGGGATGGATGGGATGGGATGGGATGGGATGGGATGGGATGGGACGGGATGGATGCGATGGGATGCGATGGGATGGATGGGATGGGATGGAATGGGATGGGATGGGATGGGATGGGATGGGATGGGATGGGATGGGATGGGATGCGATGGGATGGGAAAGCAGGGCCAGGCCTGCACACAGAGTTGGATTCAAGTGCTCCCTCCTGGTGTTTGTCCCTAGGTGATGGGCTGGCACCCAGCTGGGCTCCCTATGAGAGGATGCAGCCTCAGAAGCTGTGTGATTTCTACACCTCAGCTATTCCTTTCGCCCCCCAGCTCCAAGGTGTGCACAATCACCAAGGGCTCAGACCAGCTTTACGCATACTTCGCTATCAAGCTGATGGCAACCACAGCGTGCGTGCTCTTGGCATGAGAGGAGGAGGCGATTTGGGCTTTCTCACTCTTCTTTCTTTCCTGGCCAAGCTTAGGCCAATTACTTGCTGGAAGCAAAGCGCAGACCCGTGGAGCCTGCTCCCATGCAAAGGCTCTGTATGATGGGTGGTGAAAGCCATGTCTGCAGCCCTCTGTTATGGCAGAGGCTTGCAGCCAGCATGAGCAGTTCCTCCCAGCATCCCAGCCCAGCATCGGCACCTCCAGTCCCCCTTCCTCGCTCCCTCTCCAGGAGGAGGAGCTGCTCCATTCATCTGCTGACACTCAGCTCCTGGCAGGCAGGGCTCCACGCTCCACACACCTTCCTCAGAGCTGCTGCCAGCTCCCAAGGCAGCCCTGTCAGGACTTGGTGGTGATGGGCTTTCACAGGATCCCAGCCTCTGGAAGAGCTCAGGGCAGAGCGCAGCCAGCTCCGGTCTCACGGCATTGCTGGAGGCTCATGGAGAAGGAGCATCCCTCCACTGCTGGCAATGGGCACTCCCTGTGTGCTGAGGAGCACTCAGCATCCTGAACCACTATCAGAGCCCTCAGGCAGGGCAAGCAGGACCATCGAGGACGTGCAGAGTCATTGCAGGTGGGGGTAAAAGGCAGATGCTTCCTGTAGATGCTTTGTGTGGGCAGCCTGGAAAGCACATGCATGGCCCTTCTCCAGGGCATGGCGCTGCACATCAATGGCCCAGAGGCTGGGGATGAAGATGCTGCAGGGGGTTCCAGGGGAGCCCAGCTCCTGGTGCTCAAGCTCATCTCAGCTCTGGCTTCAGCCTCCCCTCAAATCAAGCAAACAGAATGAAGATCAAGGGGTGGTGAGCTCCATCCAGGCAGGGCAGGAGCTGGCTGCTGGTGCCACCATGAGATCCAGGCACCCAGCAGTGGTTTGGTGCCACCATGAGATCCAGGCACCCAGCAGTGGTTTGGTGCCACCATGAGATCCAGGCACCCAGCAGTGGTTTGGTGCCACCATGAGATCCAGGCACCCAGCAGTGGTTTGGAGACACCAAATCCTTTCTGGAGCTCACTCAATCTCACCAGCTCCACATCCCAGGAGCTTCCGAAGCCCAAGAGCTGGTACCTCCTGTTGCTGTTGCTTGCCAAGCATGCTGAGCTCTCCCAGCTACAAACTCCATCTGTTCTGCAGCTAGAACACACGTGGAAAGGCTCCTGGGTGTCCTCTCTGCTGTCCATCTGCCATAGGATGCCTCAGTGGGGCAGGTGGGATAGCTGGATGCTGCATGGAGAGCCCCAGAGCCCTGGTCCTCACAGCAGGCAAAGAACCCCATTGTGCTCAGTGGGGATAGGGCTGTCCCCTGCCCACCCCAAGGACCCCCAGAACTGGCCTGTGGGATCTCCAGTGCATAACCCACTGTTGGAGCAGCTTGTTCATGCTGTTCCCTTTGGGAAGGAGATGCAGGAGAGTGCTTTGTGCTCCAACCTCAGGGCCTAATGGACCCTGCTTGGGATCAAAGAGAGGGAAGCACCCATCTCTGTAGTGGTCCTTAGTCACCGGGCAGGGAGAACCCAGCTCCCTTTCAGAGGAAGCTCAACCTCCTGCACTGACAGCCCCATCCTGATGACAAACCATCCCACCATGGATGCCCCCAGTGGTCCTCAATGAGGTCTGTGCCCTGGTGGGACGCTGTCGGGGTGCAGGAGCAGAGCCCGAGCCCCCTCCCCTGCCTCCCCTGGGCTCGCTGGTCGCTTACGGAGCAGCTGCACTGCACACACTGGTTCGGCTGGCGGCTGGGGAAGAGCTCGCTGGTGGTGAACATCTCCCCTTGCTGGTAGCTTGTCCCGTTGTACTGGCAGGACCTGAGGGGTGCCCGCAGGCCAGAAGGGGAATGTGGCTCTGCAAAAGATGAGGAAGCAACAGGATGAGAGCCAGGCACCGGCGTCGCACGGATGCTCAGCGGCTTCCCCACCAACCCAAGCCAAAAGGGTGAGAAGCTGTTGACACCCCAGGAAGAAGTGGCCAGGGCATCGCATGGTCATAAAGCTTCGGGAGAACGGGGCTGCCCTGAGCCTGCTGAGCTCAGCACAGAGGTGAAACCTGGAAGGGTTTGACAGGATGAGAACATTGGGGCTGTTGAGCCTGGAGAAGAGAAGCTGTGTGGAGACCTCAGAGCAGCTTCCAGTGTGTGAAGGGGGCTGCAAGGATGCTGGGGAGGGACTCTTCATCAGGGACTGCAGTGATAGGACAAGGGGTGATGGGTTCAGACTGAAACAGGGGAGATTTCGGCTGGAGATAAGGCAGAAGTGCAGGTACAGGCTGCCCGGAGATTGCAGGACCATGGCCACCTTGTCACCCTCTCCCCATGGGATGTCCACCTACCAAGGCACCGCGGGCAGCACTGCTGAGGGTCCGTGACGGAGCTGGCACATTGCAGAGCCGGGCACTGGATCCGGTAGCACCTGATGTTGGCATTCTGGGGAGAGACAGAGTCAGAGAAGGTTCATTCAGCTCCACGTTCACCCCTGCCAGAGGACGGAGATGTTGGATGGTGGGCACATTATCACAACTGATTGTGCTGGTGTAGCTCACCCAGCCAAGGAGGTCTCCATCCCCAGGTCAACCCAGCCATGGAGATCTCCATCCCCAGGTCAACCCAGCCATGGAGATCTCCATCCCCAGGTCAACCCAGCCATGGAGATCTCCATCCCCAGGTCAACCCAGCCAAGGAGGTCTCCATCCCCAGTTCAACCCAGCCATGGAGATCTCCATCCCCAGGTCAACCCAGCCATGGAGATCTCCATCCCCAGGTTAACCCCAACCAGCTCATGGTCTCATCAAACACCACCCATGGTCCCACTGCAGCCCTGAGCCTGCAGCCCACCAACGCTACTGAGATAGCTCCCTCATAAGGTGACCCCACCACCCTATGGCGACAGGGGGTATTTTCAAAAGGAAAGAGATGAATCCGATGTCCATATGGGACTGGAAAGGGCTTTTCTGGTCAAATTAGACCCGCTTTAAACCTCATCTGCTTTAAAGCTGCCAAGCCAATGGCCATTGCAGCAGCATCCCCCCCACGGCGCGGGGCACCTCGGCGGGACCTGCCTCGGAGCAGCTGCAGCGGATGCAGTACATCAGCCCCTGCGGCTCCAGGTAGGGGTGCCAGCTCTCCCCCGGGCTGTACTTCTTGCCATTGAAGTCACAGAACACGTCCGGCCCTGAAAGACAACCAGAAGCTCTGTGAGAGAATGGGACGGGAAGAGCTGGGGCAGGGTCTGAAGGGGGCTACAAGGATGCTGAGGGGGACTCTTCACCAGGGACCAGAGTGATAATCCCTTACAATGAGGGTGGTAAAACACTGGCACAGGTTGCCCAGAGAGGTGATGGATGCCTCATCCCTGGAGATACGTGAGGCCAGGCTGGATGTGGTTCTGGGCAACCTGATCGAGATGAAGATGTCCCTGCTCATTGCAGGGGGTTGGACTGGATGAGCTTTGGGATCACTTCCAGCCCAAACTATTCTATCATTCTATAACTCTTTGGCAGGATGAGGCCAGCCCACAGCAGGACCTGTGGGACAAAACCATGCCCAGGTCATGCCCATACTCCCCACAGGAAGCCCAACTCAGCCATCCCTAACACTCACATCAAAAAGCATCACCGGTCCTGCAGGCCCAAGCTCTGACCCCAACTGAACGTGCAGGAACCCAGACCCCATAACTCCCACCACAGCCCAGCTCCTGCTCTCTTGTGATGTCTCCCCAAGCCCCAAGCAGCCAGGGGGAACATTCCAGGGCTTAAGTTCTTCCATGAATGTGTGTTATTGGTGCTTTCGGTGCCCAAAGCCCCACTAAAAGCTGGAGGTGATTTAAGGGTTATGTCATCGGGGGGATTTGAGGTAGTTTGGGCGATGACGTTGCTCAAGGTAGTGGAGATATTTACGCTCCCTGAAGCATTTATGGGTCTTTTAAAAGCTTGTGGTGCCCTGGGGATGTGGGGAGAGGGGAAAGGGCTGGTTTTGAAGGCATGGGGCCCAGCTCCTGCAGCCCATCGTGTGAATACAGGCAAGCTGGTGGGTGCTGAGCCTGCTGTGCTGCTGGAAGGACTCCTCAGAGGTGCCCAAAACGAGCCCAGTGGCATTCAGCACCCCAATGATGCTAAAACTACGACAAGACCATTAGGGCTGGAAGGGACGTCTGGAGATCAACCCCCTGCCAAGGCAAGGCTTAAATAGGACCGTGTCCATGGTGGGGTTTGAATGTCTCCAGAGATGGAGACTCCGCTGCCAGGGCTCGGATACCTCTCAACGTAAAGGAGCTGTTCCTGCTGTTGAGGTGAACCTTGTTGTGTTACAGTTTATGGCCATCCCATGCTCTGCGCTGGCAGCAGGGACACAGCAGTGATTCAGAGAGCCTGGCCAGTGCTGTCCCTTGCCAAAGCTGGAGGTGCCACCTGCTCAAAGCGTTTCTCCTGCCACCGAGGCAAAACCCATACCAAAACGCTGCAGTGGGCAGACACATCCCCTTCAGCTCCTGACCATAGGATGCCAAAGTGGTTTGGGTTGGAAGGGAGCCTAAAGCTCCTCCAGCTCCAACCCCTGCCTCGGGCAGGGACACCTTCCACTGGAGCAGCTTGCTCCAAGATCATTCTTAGCCCTACAGGCCCTTGTCCCAAGCCCCTCTCCAGCTTTCCTGCAGCCCCTTTAGGCACTGGAGCTGCTCTCAGGTCTCCCCTTCAGGAGCCTTCTCTTCTCCAGGCTGACCCAGCCCAACTCAGGATAGACCCAAGCAATGCTCTACCATGGCCAGACCCTGTGACCACTGGGAAGGGCAGCCTTATGGGTCTATGATGCTCTTTATGGGTCCCTTTCATAGAATTATAGAATCACAGAATCATAGAATGGTTTGGGTTGGAAAGGATCTTAAGATCATCCAGTTCCAACCCCCCTGCCATGGGCAGGGACACCTCGCACTAAACCATGGCACCCAAGGCTCTGTCCAACCTGGCCTTGAACACTGCCAGGGATGGAGCATTCACAACCTCCCTGGGCAACCCATTCCAGTGCCTCAGCACCCTCACAGGGAAGAATTTCCTCCTTATCTCCAATCTAAACTTCCCCTGTTTCAGTTTGAGCCCATCACCCCTTGTCCTATCACTGCAGTCCCTGATGAAGAGTCCGTCTCCAGCATCCCTATAGACCCCCTTCAGACACTGGAAGGCTGCTATGATTCCAACTCAATCCCTGTGAGCCTGCCAGCAACCCTGAGCTCCTCATTGAGTTGATGGCTTCAAGCACTTGATTCTCCAAGTTATTCCTTCAGAGGAGGTGGCCACCACTGCCCACACCACCTAGCCCAAGCACAGCGCTATGGGGCCACGTTGCATCTGCAGCGGTGGAGATTTGAGTTACTTTTGGGGTGGATGCCACCAGAGGCACAGGCAGAAGCATTTTCCTTCCTTTTGCCTACATAGAAACACAGAATCACCAGGGTTGGAAGTGAGCTCTGGATATCACCTAGCCCATCCCCTCTGCCAAGGCAGGGCCGTCAGCTCTTTACATTGTCCCCATAGCCTGCTCCAAGCCTCTTCACAACTCAGCACACCCATATTTCCAGCCACGCAGGACATGTGCTTACAGCAAACCACACAGGAACGGGGACAATGGGGCTGGGAACTGCAGAAACCCAGACGAAAAAGGCATAAAACTCCACAAAACTCCACAAAAAAAGAAGAAGAAACCATCGTTTCTCATAGCCAAAGGGTGAGAAAACGACTTCATTCTTCCCTGCTTGCAGCATCCTCATGAATTACGCTGCGGGGGAAGAGATGAAGTTGCCTCTGTGCGCGGCGGCCCCGCTCGGCTTGCAGGCTCCCATGCCAGTTGGCTGCTTCCTCCAAGCATTTAATCCCAAGTGGAGCCCTGGTTTGGGTCCAGCCCTCGAGAGCAGCTTGATTCATGTGTGCAGAGGGCCTGATTGGTCACATGAGCAGCAGCAGACACTTGTCCACGTCTCAGTTGTGTGATGGGGCTTGGGCCTGAGGCAGCAGCATGTTTGGGGATGCATGGAGGGAGGGAGGGAGGGAGGGATGGATGGATGGATGGATGGATGGATGGATGGATGGATGGATGGATGGATGGAGGGAGGGAGGGAGGGAGGGAGGGATGGATGGATGGATGGATGGATGGATGGATGGATGGATGGAGGAAGGGAGGGATGAATGAAGGGAGGGAGGGAGGGATGGAGGGATGGAGGGATGGAAGGATGGATGGATGATGGATGAATGGATGCAGGGGTGGATGGTTTGATGGAGGGAGGGAGGGAGGGAGGGAGGGAGGGAGGGAGGGAGGGAGGGAGGGAGGGAGGGATAGATAGATGGATGGTTGGATGGATGGAGGGATAGATGGATGGATGGTTGGATGGATGGAGGGAGGGATGGAGGGATGGATGGATGGATGGATGGATGGATGGATGGATGGAGGAAGGGAGGGATGGATGAAGGGAAGAAGGGATGGAGGGAGGGATGGATGGATGGATGGATGCATGATGGATGGATGATGGATGAATGGATGCAGGGGTGGATGGTTTGATGGATGAAGGGAGGGAGGGAGGGAGGGACGGATGGAGGGATGGATGGATGGAGGGATGGATGGAGGGATGGGTGCATGATGGACGGATGGATGGATGGAGGGATGGATGGAGGGAGGGATGGATGATGGACGGATGGGTGGATGGAGGGATGGATGGAGGGATGGATGGAGGGGTGGATGGATGGAGGGATGGACTGATGGATGGAGGGATGGATGGAGGGATGGAGGGAGGGATGGATGGATGGACTGATGGAGGGAGGGATGGATGGAGGGATGGAGGAGGTTTAAAAGTTTAGATCATTTTTTCCCATGCCAGGATTAATAATTTCATTCTCCGAGGCCAAACTTTGGAGATCTTCCCCCTCCGCTCGGAGTCAAAAGCCATTTGTGGCAGCCAATTGCTCCCGTGCCCCTCAGTCACCTCATTTATCGCATCTTCAGCAGCGGCAGGCTCACAAAAGTCACCTTGTTTCACTTCTGCTTTGCCAGAGAGGGCTCTGGAGCTGCAGCGGGTTTGCAAAGCTGCAGGACCAAAGGAGCCAGGTGAAGCCACCACCTTGTTTCCCTTCCCTAGGTAAGGAGATGACAACGGCCCAGCATGGTCCATGCCACCATGGAGACCCAATCTGAGCTTGCTGATTGCTCTGTGCTTGGAGGTGGCCCTAAGGGACCTGGAAGCAGGAGTAGAGGTGGAAAGGGGGGTGTTTCCCACTGTAAATGCCTTCAGGAACGGGTCCCATCTGACCACTTCTCAAATACAAGAATCATAGAATCATGGGGTCATAGAATCATAGAAGCACCGAATGGTTTGGGTTGAAGGGACCTCAAAGCTCCTCCAGCTCCAACCCCTGCCATGGGCAGGGACCCCTTCCATAGAGCAGCTTGCTCCAAGCCCCCAAGACGTGCTACAGGACACACAAGAGTCCACAGAAGTGAGGCCCTACTGCAGGTAAAGCCTTGACCTGTGTCTAGAGAGGGACTAATGCACCTGCAAGACCCCAAAGCAGAGAACATGAAGGCACAAACCTCTCCCAGTTTGCTCACCTGCAGCAGCAAGCCTCCACCAGCCCCATGCCGCAGTCTCCCTGGCAGGGACTTTCACTCCAGGCACCAAAGTGCCTCCAACAAGGATGCTACCGGAATGCCCCACAAGTGTCACCCTGTTTCGCCCCTGTTTCATCCCACGTGCAGGGGGTCTCTGAAGGAGGTGATCCTGCCCCTCTGCTCTGCTCTGGTGAGACCCCACTTGCAGCACTGGGTGCAGTTCTGGGGTCCTCAACATAAGGACATGGAGCTGTTGGAGGGAGTCCAGAGGAGGCCACGAGGATGAGCAGGGGCTGGAGCAGCTCCTGTATGGAGCCAGGCTGAGAACACTGGAGCTGTTGAGCCTGGAGAAGAGAAGCTGCGTGGAGACCTCAGAGCAGCTTCCAGTGTGTGAAGGGGGCTGCAAGGATGCTGGGGAGGGACTCTTCATTAGGGACTGCAGTGATAGGACAAGGGGTGATGGGTTCAAACTGAAACAGGGAAGTTCAGGTTGGAGATAAGGCAGAAGCTCTTCCCTGTGAGGGTGCTGAGGCGCTGGCACAGGGTGCCCAGAGAAGCTGTGGCTGCCCCATCCCTGGCAGTGTTCAAGGCCAGGTTGGACACAGGGGCTTGGAGCAAGCTGCTCTATGGAAGGGGTCCCTGCCCGTGGCAGGGGTTGGAACTGGAGGAGCTTTAAGGTCCCTGCATCCCAAACCTTTCTATGTCTCTGCATCCCAGGCAGTCCCCTCACAGCTCGCCACCAAGTTGGACCCATCTGAGCCATGCTCACGGCCCCAGGAGCCTTTGTGGGGGTCCCACACCTGCCTGGCAGCCCCACGCCAGGCACAGGGGCTGTGTTTATAGAGTCATGGAATGGTTTGGGTTGGAAAGGACCTCAAGATCATCCAGTTCCAACCCCCTGCCGTGGGCACGGACACCTCCCACTAAACCATGGCACCCAAACATCTTATGCTTGATCATTATAAACTTAATAAATATAAATGAATAGACATAAATAAAGCATGAACATTTTATGCTTTATTTTATGCAAGGCAGTTTGTAGGTTTTAAAAGCAGCCATAAATAAGGTGTAAGAAGCAGTGTCTGGAACAGAAAGTCCCAGCACTCCCGTGACAGCCCTGTGTTTACGGAGGGCTTAAAGTGCAACCGCAGCTCAGAGGGGACTGCTTAAAACGCACCCAGCCCTTGGCATGCGGCATCCCAATGGCTCTGCTCACATCCAGATCACTTCCCACACCCTCGCCTCGCTCAGTCCTGGGCTGGGAATTCCTTCTTGGCACTGTGGGAGCCTGGAAACATGCAACTGAGCCTCATGGAGCATCCCTGAGCTCCCCAGGGTGGAGGAACCAAGTCCTGCATCCAGAGCATCCTCAGGGCCTCTGTGAGCAGCAGACAGGGGTTCTGCTCCCCCTGCTCCTTCCCAAGGGGATTCTTGGGTGTCTAAAGTAGGATGTGCAGGCATCACCTCTCCCTTACCCTGTCCACAGGTAGGGTTTGCTTTTCATCCCACTCCTTCCCCTCTTGGACCACCCACTCCCCCATCACACCGGGTCCAAACTCATAGAACAGACCCCATGAGCTCCCTTTTTCTGCAGGAGCCACATTAGAAATGAAATGAAATGAAGCAGTAACTCCCCCAGCTCCTGGAGAACACCCCTGCCCCGTGCTCTCCAGAGATGCTGGCTTTAAATGCCTCCAGCCAAACCATCCCTGCACTCAGCTGTTGCTGCTGCGTTGCTCACCCGCAACGCATCCAGCCCAGTAACCTGTGCCCCTGACAGCCTCTCGGCTCACAGTGTAAATCCCCTAAAATAGCCTGTTTCTGTGGGCAAATTCCTCCTTTCTGACTTGCCTTCGAGCCCGAGTGTTTCTGCTCCTCACCTATTTTTAGCCGCGACACTGGAGGTCTCTTGGCTGATGAGGCTGCTCGAAGCTAATTTGTTCTTGTCTTCATCCTCCCCGAGTGCTCAGCGCAGAGATAAACGCGAGGCAATGAAGGGTAGAGGTGGATGGAGGAGGATGAGGGTCTCATCACCCAGACCCCTCTACCTTCAGGCATGGGGCTCCTGGAGCCCCCAGCGCCATGGGATGTACCCTCAGCACTGCCAAAGTGATGCAGAGAGGAGATCCCGGACTTCCCTGCCCCTGTCCCGCAGTCTCCAGCCCTTTATCACCATCACAAGGGATGCAAAAGGACCCCAACACTTCCTCCCGAAGCAGACAACCCCCCACTGCCCCATTCATCACGGTTTATGTGCAATGTAGGGACTCTCCTTCCATCAGCAAAGCAAAGACTTCACCTAGCACCTACTTCAACCTCCTGGTGATGTCTCCATCCTCCTCCTAACCTGGGTACCACGGGTAACACAGCCCTGGCAGAGGCACGGAGTCAGCCCAAAATCCCTTGTGCGAGGAACGATGCTGCGGGCTGAGCCCAGGGAAGGGGAAGTAGCCAAACTCACCCCGATTTTGCTCTCCAAGGGCTCTGCACAGCCCCATCCATCCTCCTGCCTTTCCCCCCTGGACGCTCCACTGCCGGGACAAGCAAATCCAGCGCTCACAGTCTGGGTCAGTGCTCCAGGAGGATGGTTATTTGCCGAGTGCCTAAGGCACTGCTGGCAGCAGGCAGGTCATCAATCACCCTAATGCAGCCACCGACAGGCTCCGCTGGGATTAGAGAGGAGAATACACGGAGGGACCCAGCGGGTGCTGCTTTGCTTTGCTCAGGTGGCTTTGTGATGTTGTAGGGGTGCCCAGTGGGTCCCAGTGCCTTACCCAAGTCCTCAACAGCCCTGGCCAAGTCCTTCAAGGCTTCTTGAACAAGGAAGCGCTGCACAAATCCCTTTCCCATCCCAAATCCCAGTTGCCAGCTGGGAGCAGAAGCAGGTGAGAACATGGGATGGGCAAGAGATGGACATGGAGATGGACAAGGGATGGACACGAAGAAAAGCCCCCAGCTTTGGTCTGGAGGCATCCTTTCCCCAAATTGCCCATGTGCCTGTCCACCCGCAGCGGGGAGATGTGCCCTTGCTGAGCGGGAGCTGTGCAGGGGAAGAGCTGCATCTCAGCTCCCTGCCCTGCACCATTTCTAGCCCACGGGAAGGTCCCGGACCTTCAGCACATCCCTGCCAGCCCCTCCAGCCCCCAGCATCCTCACCAGCACCCAGCAGTGTGCGCAGGTAGTGGAGGACACCACTGCGTGTCCACCACTGCAGGATGGGGGACCTGGCTTGCTGGCACATGGAGGACCAGCACCTGCACCCCCGTATCCGGGGCCATGCCCGCAAAGCGTAGTCCCACCCTCATGGTGCCGGGGACCCCGGCGATGGGGAAACTGAGGCACAAAGGGACCCGTGGAGGGGAGCGGCGGGGGGGGGGGGGGACACTTACGAGCCCGGGCGCGGCTCTCGGAGCCGAGGAGGAGCAGCAGGCACCGGAGGAGGAAGGCGAGGGGTCCTGCCCCGGGAAGCATCGCGGCGATCGGCGCCCGGCGGCTTCGGTCCCGGTGCCCGCGGGTGCCTCTGCCCGATGTCCCGGTGCTGGTCCCGGTGCGGTGCCCGGTGATGGCTCGGTCTCGGTGCCGGGAGGCTTCGCTCCTGCTGTCGGTACCCGGCGGTGCCGCGGTCTCTGCCCCGGTGTCGGGTGCCTGGTGCCGGTGGTGCCGGTGCCGAGGTGCCGGGGGTGCAGAGACGCCGGTTCCCAGGGGTGCCGGGGATGCCTGTGCCGGGGGGTGCCGGTTCCCGGGGATACAGAGATGCCGGTGCCGAGGTGCCGGGTCCCGGGGGTGCCGCGATGCCGATGCCGGTGCCCGACGGGTCTCGTCTCGCTCCGGTCAAAGGCGCCTCCTTTAGGGAGAGCCGAGGAGTTTGTTTGTTGGTATTAAAGGCGGAGATGGGGGTGGGGGCCCGAGGGGGGTGGGGGGGTGTTGGGTTTGGGGTTTTTTTAATTATTATTATTATTTTCCCACTTTTTTTTGGGTGTTTTAGGAAATTCCTCGCCGCCGGGAGGCGGGGGGAGGGCGGGCGCGGAGCCGGTGCGGGAGCCGCAGCTTTAACCCCGTCCTCCCTGAGGCCCGGCCGGGGAGGGGGGACCTGCGGGGCTGGACCCGTCCTGGGGGCTGCGAGCAGGGAGGGGGCTCTAATGGGATAAATCAGCGCCCCCCCCCCCCCAACCAAGGCCCGGCTGTGCCCTTTCTGCCTCTCAAACATCACCTGGACCCGGCTCGGAGATGCTTGAATCCCCCCCCAAGGGAGAGGTTTAAACCCCCATGCCCGTGCAGAGGCACCGCATCCCTTGGTCTGGCGCATCCCCAGCTTCAACGGGGGCAAAGCAGAAATCAGGGCTTTAGCCTCCTCCAGAAGGGCTCTGCTCCACAGCTGAGGTCCCCCAGTGCCCTGACTCCCTGCCCACTAAAGCCCGGTTGCCTTCCCATTGCCATGGCTGGGACCCTGCCCTCCCAGGGTAGTGGGGTGCAGCGAGCTGTCCCGTACCCACAGGGGTTTCAGTGGGACAAAGCAGTTGAATCCACTCTCCCCACCAAGTGCTTTACATCCCTCCAGCTGCACAAAGCCACCTTAGATGACCAACAAAGTCCCTGCCTGCAGGACCTCCAAGCCATGATCCCAAATCCTCCTCGAGCAGAGTGAAGAGCAGCGCTCACACCTTGGCCATCCTTCATCCCCACAGCGTGGAGCTGATGGGCATGAAACACCATCAGCTGGAAAGTCACCCCTGACAAAGTCACCTCCGTGTTGCTCCTGCTCCTGCTGCTCCCCAGATCCTGCTGGAAGTGCTCCAGCTCTGGCTGCCAGCCCTGCTCTGCCTGTCCATGGGGCTCAGCTCTCCACTCTCCAATGCTGGGCAGCATTGGATCCTCCCTGAGCTGCTGTGCCCACCACACAGCGCTGCTTCCCATGGCCAGGATAAGCCAGAGTCACCAGCTCATCATGGAGATGGGTTCCTGCAGCTTCCTTAGACCCCCAAAGCCAGTTTTAGGGTGGTTTTCACCCGTTCCTCCTGCTCCACCTTCACAACTCACACTTCCAGGGGTACAAAGAGCAAGACACTCTATCAGCAGAAGGCATACAGGCTTTAACGCGGTGTTAAACACCTTCATGCCCATGTTCCTGCATCAAACAGGCTTGGATGGAGGTTCCAGACCTTGCAGGCTTCTCCTTTGCCAATGGCTTAATCTCTACACCACTGGGTCTCTCTCTTCTCCTCATCTTCAGCTTCCTCCCACCACTGGCCGTGGAGAAGCCATCATCACTGCAATCCCTTTGGCACCAGGTGACCAAGATCTCCTCCATCAGCCAAGTTATTTCTTTTCCTCCATCAAATCAAGCTTGGGATTGGGTTTTCCGGGGTTTGAGATCTTTATGCCTGATGCCAACCCACTTGGAGCAGCACCAAGCCACCAGTCCCCAAGCTCCTACTCCTGGCCACAGCAGCCACGCGCCCCATTTGGCTCAGAGAGGAAAGCATCCAAGGGGAATTTCTGCAGCAGAACCTCTTCCATCCATCCCTTCTTTCTGCCTGCCTCAAGCCCTGCCCCAGGAGCCAAACGCATCCCCCTCTACCAAAGCACGTCTGCGAGTACCCATTCCTGGAGCTGGATATGATGGAAATCTCTTTGGTTCCCTGAAACCTGCCTGAATAACACTTTAAATCATCAGCTCTGTTGTTTCCTCTTGAAGCTGCCGAGCACGAGAAGCCAAGATGCGTTTCTGCACTCATCTTTCAGGAGCAAGGTGCCCACCGCCAAACCACAGCCAGCAAATGGAGACGAGACCTCATCCCACCTCGGCTCTTCCAAGGGGCAGCTCTGTGGTCCTCAAAGAGCACATCCCTCCGTCCAGAGCAGGAGATGGAGCTGGGCTCATCACAGCGCTGCTGTTTCTAAGCTCTAAAATACCTGTGCCACTTGGTGCCTCCAATGCAGACTGGGAGCATGGCTCTGCTGCAGGACAGGGGGGCGAAGGAGACCTGCCTACAGCGAGCACAAGCGGTGCCCTCGCTGCTGCATTTCGGGGCTGACCAGAGCAGTCCTGACGCGACCACAGAGCTTCAAAACACTCCGGAGAGGGGTGTGAAGAGAAGACAGCACCAAACACACGCCCAAACACACACATACACACGCGCCCCGTGTGCTGGGTGCACCCCCAGAGCGTGAGCAGCAGCTCGGGGAAAGGGGATCCTGCCCCTCTGCTGTGGGAAAGGGAGACCTGAGAGCAGCTCCAGTGCCTGAAGGGGCTGCAGGAAAGCTGGAGAGGGGCTTGGGACAAGGGATGTAGGGACAGGCCAAGGGGAATGGCTTGAACCTGCCCGAGGGGAGACTGAGCTGAGCTCTTAGGCAGAAGCTCTTCCCTGGGAGGGTGCTGAGGCGCTGGCACAGGGTGCCCAGAGAAGCTGTGGCTGCCCCATCCCTGGCAGTGCTCAAGGCCAGGTTGGACACAGGGGCTTGGAGCAAGCTGCTCTATGGAAGGGGTCCCTGCCCGTGGCAGGGGTTGGGACTGGATCAGCTCTAAGCTGCCTTCAACCCAACCCATTCCATGCTTCTGTGATCAAACATCAGGGATGCTCAGCTGCAGCCTTCCAGGGAAAGGAATGGAAAGCAGCTCCTCCAGCCTGCACCGTGGCCAGGTCACGATCCTGCCACCGGGCCCTCACGGGGAGGGATGTTTTTGGAGCTCACGTTATTTATTCAGGAGTTTGTTTGAGAATCTCAGTTTTCACCTGAAAAAAAAACCCACCCAAAAGGCATCATCTTGTGCTCTCTATTGCCCGGCAAACACGAAGGGGATTGACCCAAAGGCTCAGCAACCAGAAGGCAAATAAAAAGCACCCAAGTTTCCTTCTTTCCACGCCAATCCCATGGTTTGCTGGAGCCTGATGCAGGGTGGCAGATGGATTGATGTTGGCAGTGTGGAACTGTCAGACGGATTCCTTCGCAGATGAAGATAAAGAGCCCTGGTTTTGCCAAGGGGTGAATGTATTCTTTATGAGAGCCACCAGAGATGTAACACAGCACCTTGCTCCTGACAAGGCTGGTCTTTAACTCCCGGGTCTGCACTTAGGCCATGGCTGGCCTTTCCCATCAGTTTCAGCCCTGATGCGGGGCCAGGAGCTACAGGCCTGACTTCAGCTGATGCTGTTAGAGCAGGGACACAAAATACCTCCATTGACTGGGCTGCGTGGCCCCGGTTTTCTCAGCACTTTCATAACCTGCCCCCAGAGCCACGCTACAAATGGGCTTTTCAAGGCAGGGAGGAGCTGGGAGAGGAGGTGCCGGCTGCTCCCGGTGGGAGCTGTTTACTCAAACCCCTTCCACAGCCTTACCGAGGCAGGAGGAGAAAACCGAGAGCGCGGCTGGCAGATGGGCAGGGAGCTGGGAATGAGCGGAGCCGGGAGGCGAGGGAGGCTGGGTTAGATGGGGAGAAGCTGGGACCCAGCCTGGGTTGGGTTGAAGGGAGCTTAAAGCTCCTCCAGCTCCAACCCCTGCCACGGGCAGGGACCCCTTCCATAGAGCAGCTTTGGGCACAAGCATTGGGCAGGAGCCTAAGACTCCTGCTCGCAGCCCGTCCCTCTCAACATCCCTCCTCCCTGCAGGCACAGAAGCCACCGGGAGGTTCAGAGGGACATTTGGCCCATCAGGGCTGATGTCCTGGGTGGCTCTGGTCCCTGCTGCTCCCGCAGGACACCATGCAGAGATGAGAGCTGGATGGGGAAGCAGAACACCCCTCTGAGATGCAGATTCAGTCCTGTCTCCTTGCATGATGCCCCTGAGCTCCTCTCACCGCTGGCTCTATCAGCTCTGCTCAAGGTGGAAGAGGACAGATAGCAAGGATCCTTCAGGCTGAGCACTGGCCTGGTTTTATGCTGTTCCTTGTCCTGCATTAAACCAGCACTGGAGTAACTATAATTCACAGCAGCAGAACCATGGGAGAGGGGCTGCCTCCCTCCCACGACCGATGGTGTAACCTTGAGCTCCTCACTGGGCACATTGGAGCCGCTTCTGCACCCAGACCCCCGTCCCACCCTGACCCAGGGCCTGGCTTCAGTTCAGCCATGGCAGGAGATGCGTCTCCAAGCTAGAAGGGAGCACTGAACGTCTCCTGGAGCTGCAGGGAGACAGCTTACCTGCAAGCATCAGCACCTCCTCGTGATGCAGCGGCTCAGGGAGCTGCCTCTGCCTGCAGTTCTAGCACAGACACCACTGTACCCAGCATCCCTGCTCCCATTCTGATGGGTGATTCAAGCCAAGGAGAGCTCCTCCTGAAGGCAGTTGTGTTTGGGGGACATCCAAGCAGAGAATTCACCATGGAGCAGGCCCGGAGGTTGCTCTGCCCAATGGAGCACATAAAATTCAGCCTCACTCCGGAGTTTTATAGCATCTTCACAGCTTGAGCTATGGAGGCTGTCTGCAGAGGGCATCACCCAAACCTCTCCTTTGGACATCACCCAACCTCTCCTGGGGACATCACCCAACCTCTCCTTTGGACATCACCCACCCTCTCCTGGGGTCATCACCCAACCTCTTCTGGGGACATCACCCAACCTCTCCTGGCTACATCACCCAACCTCTCCTGGGGACATCACCCAACCTCTCCTGGGGACATCACCCAACCTCTCCTGGCTACATCACCCAGC